ATTACAGTTAGGTTCCGGGTGTCTTCTCTGCCCAGATTAACCGATATGATGTCTGTTTGCCCAATGGCTCCCAGGGTTCCTGATTACTCAGTTCAGGTGGACTTGGCGTGCCCTCTCTCTCACATCAGCTTCCATCTGCCGTATTTATAAGCATCTAGTGTTGGTCTAAATGGAGCCTGTGGGCGTATCCCATGCCTCAGCTGTGGGCGTCGGTCAGCGGTTTTTGACTAAACCACTGATTGCTTTGATGAGGGCTGTTCGGTCACGTTTTGACTCCATCCATGCTTCTTTCAGATTCCTTTCCTTTTTCTCTTACTGTTCCTTCGTTTGTTGGTTGTTTTGTTTTGTTGTTATCATTGTTTTGAGACAGGGTTTGTCTGTGTAGCCCTGGCTGTCCTGGAACTCGCTCTGTAGACTAGGCTGGCCTCGAACTCTCAGAGATCCACCTGCCTCTGCCTCCTGAGTGCTGGGATTAAAGGTGTGCGCCACCAGTGCCTGGCTGATCATATTTTTAAAATGATGTGTGGGTGCGTGTGTGTGTGTGCGCGCGTGTAAATGTGTACAGGAAGTATGGTGGCCAGCGTTCAACTTGGACTTCTTTCTCCGATCTCTCCCTCTTTATTTTTGAGACAGGGTCTCTCCACCAACCTGGAGCTCACTTCCTGGCAAGACCAGCCAGCACCAAAGTCAGGGACCTTCCTGTCTGCCTCCCCTCTCACAGGGCACACCACAGCCAGCTTTCACCTGGGTCCTGGGAACCCAAACTCAAGCCCTCATGCACCAGCTAGCCCACCACATAGCCCCTTGCTTTCCTGTTCTTTGAGAAGCGTCTCCCTGCGTCACTCAGACTGGCCTTGAGTTTCAGTTTGGCTGACACAGCCTCCCAGGGACTGACACTGTTAGGTATGTGCCACCTTGTCTGTCTGGATAGTTCTTCGGTTTTCATTAGTTAACTTTGGATCACAAGAAAGAACTTGCTGCAGGGGTGGTGGTGGCACACACCTTTAATCCCAGCATAGGAGGGGGGCGGGAAGAGGCAGGTGGATCTCTGAGTTCCAAGCCAGCCTGGTCTACAGAGCGAGTTCCAGGACAGCCAGGAATACACACAGAGAAATCCCATCTTGAAAAACCAAAATAGAAAAGAAAAGAAAACAGCAAGAACTTTCTTTCCTACTTCCTTTTCTTACCCAGGCTGTCCTCCAACTCACTATATAGCCAAGGAAGGCCATAAAACCCTGACCGTCCTGCCTTCCACTGCCAAGTGCATTACAGGCAGGAACCTACGCACCCAGTTTCATGAAGCGCTGGGGGTTCAAAGCCAAGACTCCCTGCACACTAAGACATGTAGTGGTATGTTGTTTATGACTTACTAAAGCTTGACTGAGGATTCAGAAAGCAAAGTCAGCCTCAAACTAGAGATCAGGCAGCGGTGACACACACCTTCAATCCCAGCAGCCTGAAGCTAGGGGGAGGTGGTGGTGCAAACCTTCAACCCCAGGACTCGGGATTAAGAGATAAGCAGATCTCTGTGAGCCCAAGGTCACCCAGATCTACACAAGAGTGACTCAGTCTAAAAGGGAATTACAGCTCACACCTTTAATTCCAACATGAGGGAAGTACATAGGACAGAAGCAAGGTCTCAGCGAGGCGTTTATTCTCCAGCCACACTGAGAGGTAGCAGTGGGAGACTCGGTGAAGAGCTCGTGCCTGGGTCAGCCCTTTCAGCCTGAGCTAGAGGTGACAGCTAGTGACCGGCAGCTTTGCTTTGTCTGATCTTCGGCTTGAAGCTTGAACCCTAATGTCAGTTGCCGGGCCATTTATTTATTTGGGTTACAAAGGCAAGCATTCTATCAAGTCAGCCTCCCCCAGCCAATTTTCATTTCTCTTTATGTCTATTTCTTTTTTTAATTTTGAGACAGGATCTTAAGTAGCCCAAATTGGCCCTGAATGTTTGATCCTCTTACCTCCACCTCACAGGTTCACACCACTCCCAGTGTCCTAGTTTGCTTCTCTGGTGCTGTGATAAAACACTGACCAAGAGAAACTTGAGGGAGAAAAGGGTTTATTTGGCTCATACTTGCCAGCGTTATCATCTAACATTGAGGGAAACCAAAGCAGGAACCCGGAGGCAGGAACCGAGGCAATGGAGGGATGCTGCCCTCTGTGGCTTGCTCAGCTGTCTTTCTCATACAGTTCCGGTCCACCTGCCTAGGGATGACGCTGCCCACTGTGGGCTGAACCCTCCCATATCAATCAGCAAACAAGAACGTGTCCCATAGACATTCTTACAGGCCAGTGCGAAGGAGGCTGCACCTCAACTGAAATTCCATCTTCTCAGATCTATCTAGGCTGACACAGACTACGACATCCAGCTTAGCGTTTATATATTTATATCAATGTTGATTCATATTTCCCAGTATGGACTCTTACGCCTTTCAATACAAGCCCGTTTTTTCCATACTATTACTTTTTGGTTATTTATGGCTTATTTGGTGGGTTGTAGTCCTTTATTACGGTTATTTAGATTGATCTTCTACTTGTCCTAGGGCTGGTCACAGGGAGCTTCTCTAAGACACTCCCCTTTGTCCTTTGGCACCCACCCTTCCCCAGCTTTCTCTCTGTGTAGGTCTGTGTGTGCATGTACACACATTCTTTATCACCTGCCCCCTCAGGCACCTTCATTACTTAAGATTTTATTGGGAGCCTTGCTGCCCAATTTTGAGCCAGTATATAAGTGCTTGTCCAAGGAGTCTCCAGATGAGCCAAAAGCCCACAGGAACAGTCTCACTTGGCAAGAACCAGCGGACTTCAGGACAGCAGAGAGTATTGCTGGGACCTCACTGCCTGCATGTTCTCCTCTCTCGTAATATTGATGAGTCTCTTGGCAGTTTTAGTATCACTTTGTCAATCATGCATGGGACAGATGTGCTCATTCCTGGAAAGCCCTTTTTTATTGAATATTTTCCCCTAAAATTCTTTGAAGCTGATGCTTCTCCAATTTCTTGTCTGGGCATGCCAGCTGTCACTCCAGACCCCGGGAGCTGTTCTGATTCAGTGCTGACAGGATGAAGGCAGACGACTTATTTCTATGAATACGTTTTGAATGGTATTGTTATTCTTGAAAATGTGTGCCTATGTTTATCACCTTTCAGTTTTGTAAAGACAGGATGTACCTGGCTCAATATTTGGCCAAGTTAGTGAAATGGTAAGTGTTTTTGGTTTACAGATGTTTTGATTTAAAATTGAGGGGGGGGGGGACACCGTAATTGTCATATTTGGTTTTGCCAGAGGTTAACGGTGGAGGATGGGAAAACTTGTTCGTTAGTGTGGGAAAACATGCATGCTTTTGATGTATAAGTAAAGACAGCTGGAGCTAGCCAGGGCCAGCCACCTGTGTGAAACTCGTCTGGTGGTTAGACAGTTCATTTCTTCATGCTGATGCCTCTCTCCGTCAGCACCTGAGCCCAGGCTGTGGCCGGACCTCTGCAAGATTTATTTATTCTTATGTGTGAGTGTTCTACCTGCATGTGTCTGTGCACCACATGTGTGCAGTTCCTATGGAGGCCAGAAGAGGGCATCGGATACAATGGATACGATAGAACCAGTGTTACTGAAGTTTGTGAGCAGCCATGTGGACCTTGGGAACCCAACCTGGCCCTCTGCAAAAACAGCAAGGGCTCTTTACCTGAGTCATCACTCCAGACCCCCACCTTGCTTCCTGAGACAGGATCTGTCACTAGCCTGGAGCTCTCAGATGGATGGCTGGCTGCTCATCCCAGAGAGCTGGGATGATAATCATAGACCACCACGCACAGCTTCTTCTCATGGGTTCTGAGACCAAACCCAGCCTCACTGACTGGCCCATCTCTGCAAACCCCTACTGCCTTGCTGTCTCGGTCACCTCTTTTAAAAACGAAGATGCTAAGGTGAGATGCAGACCTGTAATCCCTGCACTTTGGAGACTGCATTGTCCAAGGCTAGTGGAAGACACATGGTCCAAAGTCTTTGTCTCGAGGGTTTGAGGCTAGGCTGGCCTATGGAGCAAGTTCAGGACAGCCAGGGCTACATAGCAGAACCTGTTTCAACAAAAAGTGAAAAAAGTGAATATGTGGCCTACCTCATCTATCAAATCTCTCAGGTCTTACCTTCCCTCCTGTCCATGTTTAATTTCCTTACAACATGTACTTTTAAAATTTTTGCTTGTGGGAAGGTGAACACAGATGCCAGGGCACACTAGTGGGGGTCAGAGGACAAGCAGGTTTTCATTCCACCTTGGGGGCTCCCAGGATTGAACCGAAGTCCTCAGGCACAGTCCCAGGCGCCTGTTATGCAATGATGCATCTCAATAGACAGAATTTCATGTAACCCAGGCTGGCCCTGATTCTCCTGCCTCTACCTTCCAAGTGCTGAGACTAAAGGCATGTGCTGCCATATCCCAGCTTTCCAGTTTTAAATTCTATTCAATTTATAATGATGGGGGGTGAGTTGCTGTGTAATCTTGGCTGTCCTGAAACTCGATAAGAATGGGCTGTCCTTGGCTCCATTTTTTGAAGGAAAAAAAAAAGGTGACTAAGACCCTTTGGCATGAAAGATGAACGAGGTGGAAGAGACTCAGTGAACTCGCTATACAAAGTAACTAAATCTTTATTGATGCCTTCCTGTGCCAGCCAGAACACATAGAAAGGCGAGAGGCATGTCCCTGCCCTGTCACAGTCTCCTAAGGAAGACAGGAACAGGATTCCTGCAAAGATGTGAGGCCAGTACAGCATTCAGGAGATGAATCCTCTGTCCACCTGCCTGGTAATCTTCCAGCCTAGCTATGAACACAGGAAGAGGAAGCTAGCCGGGGACTATCCCAGCCACCCCTATCCTGGTCACCATCAGGGGGGAATGCAGTCTCTGCATCAAAAATCTGGGCCACCCCAGCAGTGTATTTACAACAGTAGGCTGTTTCCCGGAGCTGCAAATCAGTGCAGTGGGGACTGGAGATGCCGGAGGATGGGGACTGAGCCAGTCCAGTCCAGTGAGAGACGGAAAGAGTTGGTACCCCAGGGCCAGGGAAGCAAGGAGAGTTGGACGTTTCAAGGTGAGATGCTCACAGCAGTGCACCGGCAACCACAGTCAACAGGAGAGTTGGCAACCCAGACCCCAGAACCACAGAGCCTTCATTAGCCGGGATCTGAGCCCCGCCCTTTGCCGAGGGCGGGACCACATTGCTGCGGTCTTGGTGACCCGCAGCACCTCCAGTCAAACGCGACTCCTCTTCTTGTATCGTTTCACGGTCTACTTCATGGGGAAAGGTGTGGTTGGCTGGTGCTGACATGGGCTTGGTGGTAGAGGTGGTCGTGGTTGGAGAACCTGTGGAGGTTGTGCTGGAGGAGGTCTGGGCGAGAGTGGATGGGGCTAGGGTAGTTGGAGGGGGCAGTAGGACTAGAGGTGGGATTCGGGGGGAGAAGTAAGTCTTGTTGCGGAGGTCAGAGTTACACCGGGGCCCCTGGCAGCAGGAGCCACTGAGTGTGAATCCTGGACCTGTCACCCCATCCCGGGTGCAGGACTCATCCTGGACGCAGCCTCGGACAGGTAAGGACACAGTCACATTGGCTGTAAGAGAGGCACAGGAAGTCTGTCATTGGACAAATAGGGGTTGGCACAGCTGGGGGTGAGGGGCCTGGAACAAGACAAGAGCAGCAAGCCCCGAATGAGACAGAGGGCTGTGCTTTCGTGAGCTCAAACTTCTTCACCCTGGTCCCACTTTCTGCAGAGCGCTGTGCTCTGCTCACAGCCGACTACGTTTCCACTAAATGCTTTGGGAGGAAAAGGGTGGAACCCAGGTTCCAGATTTGCTTTCAACAGAGGACACTTCTGTGATCAAAACTGAAACATAACCTCACCTTTTCCTCTCTCGGCTCCCTGCTAACGAGTCTGAAATAGAGCTCCTTAGAAATACCTGACACCAGAAGGGATTAAAGAACTCCCATGGTGTATCAGGCCCTCACTGGGGGATTCTAGGCAGGGGCTCTGCCACTGAGCCACACACCCAGCCCCTCACTGGGGGATTCTAGGCAGGGGCTCTACCACTGAGCCACACACCCAGCCCCTCACTGGGGGATTCTAGGCAGGGGCTCTACCACTGAGCCATGTCTCCAGCCATGAACTATATCCCTTAATATTGTGGAACAGATGAGAGCCCTAGACCCCTAAGTTTTCAGGGCTCGAACCAGATTTCCCATGGTACTTAGTCAAAAAGTTTATAAGCTTAAACACAAGTCTGGTTTCATGGTCTTCCATTCCATACCCCCGCAGTCTTCAGTAGGAATACACACACACACACACACACACACACACACACACACACACACACACACACACACACACACACTAGCGGGGTCTGTAGGGTACTAGACTACATTTCCCATGATGCTGTAGGACAAGGCAAGCGGCAAAATCAAGTGCCGAGGAGGAGGGTTGGACCCTTTAGGTGAAGCACCCTCCCGCTGCCTGCTGAGGGTTATCACATCTCCTACAAGTCTCAGGCTCCTTCAGAGGGCTGGCTCACCTGCAGTCAAGGTGACGTTGCCATCGAAGCAGCCCTTGTAAACGCGGCCGCTGGCGTTATAGCAGTGCACAACCTGAGGCACGGTGCCGTGGCACTCCTGGTGACTCTTCCCCAAGCAGCTGAAGCACTCTGCGCCATTGGGCTCATACGCACTCTCGTTGCCTGCGGGGTGGGGGGGGGAGAAACAGAAAGGGAAGGGTCAAGAGACGGCCAGGCAAGTGCTCCCACCTTACTCGGAAAGCTAGGGCAGGAAGATCGCAAGTTCAAAGCCAGCTTGGTCTGCAGAGACATCTAGAGACCCACAGCTCAACAGGCCGGTGGCCTGCTGTACCTGTGACTCCGTCCGTCGATTTTCTCCTAACCCCACCCCCAGCAGCGATCTGGGGTGCCTAGAGCGTTGATGTCTACAGTCTTCACCTGGCCACCCCCGCAGCCCTGCCTCAGCTTGCAGCAGCCTCAGCTCCCAGCCTTAGCACCGCTGCCACCGACCTGCAGGGTTGAGGCCTCGCAAGGTGAGGTTGAGTTTGTTGTTGCATCGATCCTCGGGGCACTGCTGTAGCTGAATGAAGGCCAGGAGCCCGTGCAGGTCCAGGCCTCGGTCGTTCTTGCCCTGGAGTCCGGAACCACAGCCCCGCACCGCCACAGAGAACTGCCCGTGGACTGCACAGAAAAGGAGGGCGGAGTCAGAGCACACAGGGCCTCGACGGGGCGGGGTTTCGAATGGACAACGCTCCTGGGTCTGCGAGGGTGGGGGCGGGGGGGCCTTACAGAGAGCAGATCCCTGGGGAGAGAGCTACAGTGGAGGGGAGGGGAGGGGGCTGTCAAAGAGAAGAGCTTCGAGGAATCCAGTCCCAAAGGAATAGCTGATTGCCGAGAGGGGCTAAAAGCGGAGCCTGGATGGGAACGTCAGAAAAGAGGAGGAGACTCCGAAAGTAGCTTCAGAGGGATCCAGTTAAGAGACTGAAAGAAAAAAAAAAAGGCTAGGAGACAAACTTGGTGGTGCGAGCGGGCCTCGCAGTCCCAGCTACTGGGGAGGCTGAGGCAGAGGGATCTGGAACCCCCCCTCGAGCTTTTTAGTACGTAACAAGCAAACAAAGCCGGACTCGGCGGCACAAGCCTGTAATCCCAGTGACTCGGAAAGCTGAGGGAGAAGATTCATCTGTCTGAACTTTACCGTAGTGTTCAAAGGCCAAAATGAGCGACTTAGCAAGACCCTCTCTCAAAATATAAACGTCAAAGGGGCTGAGGCTATGTCTCAGTGTAGATGCCTAGAGGGAAGGCCCTGTGGATAACTTGGGGGAAGGTGGGATTACTGAGGAACCTGGAAACGCAAGAACTCTACGTCGGTGGGTAAACCTGCCTTCCTGTAGGGCGGCAAGTGAGTCTCAGTGATGGACAGAACGGGTGGTGGGAAGTGCGCGTTCAGCCCAGGGCTATCCAATCAGTCCTGAACAGTTTGCAGTTACCAACCCCACCCCCAACCCCGGAGTCCCCCACCCCCACCCAGGCTCCCTGCCTAAGCCCAGAGAAAGAAGAGCGAACCCGTGCTGCGAGGTCTGGGTGAGAGCTGAAATGGAAAGGCGTGGCCAGAATCGGAAAGGTCTGTGAGGAGGCGGAGCCTCACTGGAGGAGACCGAAGGGACCTCCGGGTGGTACTTACTGCTCTCCACCGCCCCCACCGCCTCGGTACAGACGTCCGCTCCCGGACCACACTTGACCGTCTTCATCTTGTGCGGAGAGCACCCGTCATCCGCCTTCTGCACGCAGCTGTAGCACTCCAGGGCCTGTGCTCCTGAGGGTGTGGGCCGGGCAGAACCGAGTGCTCTTTGTTAAAAAAAAAAAAAACGTATCCCAACTCGGAAAAAATCTTTCCAGGTGGCCTGTGTCCCCGGGTGAGATGGTCCTACCATGCAGCCAGAGCAGCAGGAGAAGCCTTCCCACAAGTCTCAGGGTACGGGACACACAGGACCCTCTTCCTTCCCACCCCCTGGACCAGCATTGGGGTCTTTCCTCTCCCATCTGCTTATTCCCAAGGGAGGAGACACCTGCCGTAGAGTCCCTGTCTCGGGATGGGGAAGGTGCCATTCTCACGGATGCCTGCTCAGTGTGGGAGAATCTTCCCCACAGCCCCTCTGCCCAGGATAGAACTCACAGCCTGCCTTTGACTGGAATCAACTTTCCTTAAAGGACTTCCTGTGGAGGGCCGGGGGGTTATTTTCCTTAGGAGCCCCCCCGACTCTGCCTTCCTGGTGGCACACTTACCTTCACACAGCAGTAGCGGCAGCAGCAGCAGCCATCTGGTGGTCCAGACCACCCTCTGGGCGCCTCCTCTCCTGGCAGCATCCATGGCTGCGTCCTGCTCTCTCCGCGTCCCCCCTGGGTGTGCCGCCTTGCAGCCCGGGCCCTCTTACCTGAGCCTCAGATGAGTAACCTACCCCGGGGCAACCCTGGCCTTGCCCAACCAGGCCAACTCAGCGTCCGCTGTGGGGCGGGCCCGCCTTTAGGTGCGTCACCCACAGGGAGAGCAGCCCCTACCCTGTGCCCTTGCCAAGGAGAGAAAGGGCGGGAGGGAGCAGAGGTTCCCTGACAGTGCCCTGGATGAAGTATGTTTGCAGGCAGAGGGGATGCCAGAGCTCAAAGGGGGGGGGGGCATTCAGGGTGTGCCTGGGTCCTGAGCATGCACTCGGCCTGTTCATTGAGGACACTGAGGCAGAGCCCCTGCGTGTCTTCACAGAGCTTCTAGTCGGATGGCAGAGACACACATTAAATAATTGGGGGAACTTATTTACAAGTCATTTATTTATACTGAAACCACTTGGGTCATCACAGTCCTTAGGGAGCTGAGGCAGGAGGATTGCCAGGAGTTTGAGGCATAGTGAGTTCCAGGTCTGTCTGGACTACAGAGTGAGATCCTATCTCAAAGAGTCAAAATGAACATCTTGACTTTGGAGGAGTAAGGATAGGGAGGGCTGTATACAAAAAGGGTTGGGATTTAGAAGTATGATTTTTAATATGATTACGCTGGGAAACAATGTCAATTATCAAGAAATGACTAAAAGGGTCTATATAACAAAAATGCATTGTATTCATAGGTGAAAGTCTCAAAGAATAACTAAAAATGGCAAAAGAATTCTTGAACGCCTACCATGTGTGCTGGGCACTGCTGTAAGTCCTTTAAATTAAAAAAAAAATATATTGGAAATCTAGGATAATGGCCTAGGGGTCAGCAGTAGAACCCTTAACTAGAATCCCCCAGTGAGGGACTGGGAGTATTGCTCAATGGTAAATCAGTTGACTAGAATCCCCCCCAGTGAGGGGCTGGGGGTGTGGCTCAGTGGTAGAGCCCCTGCCTAGAATCCCCCAGTGAGGGACTGGGAGTATTGCTCAATGGTAAATCAGTTGACTAGAATCCCCCAGTGAGGGGCTGGGGTGTGGCTCAGTGGTAGAGTCCCTGCCTAGAATCCCCCAGTGAGGGGTAAGTGCTTCATGGTAGAGCACTCACCTAGTATGTATGAAGCCCTGGGTTGCATCCCCAGTATCATCCCTTCCCTCCCCCAAAAAGATAAAACAAATATAAAAACCAAGAGTTTTCAATTGCCCAGCAATGGAAAGTTTCAACGGACCGTGCATGCAGCTACACAGATGGATCTTTAAAACTATGTGACTCAAAGGAGCCATAAGCAAGACAACACACAGTGCAACTCTGTTCGTTTGGAGCTCTGAAACAAACTAAACTAACCCACAGTGAGAGAATCTTGTCCCGGAAGATGCCTCTTCCATCTTCATCTAGGGAGGGTGGCCTTGCGGGTAACCAGAATGTACAGAGCTGCTGAGCTGTCTATTTAGGAATTCACTGAATGTATATTACCCTTCCACAGAAACATGAGGAAGCTGAGCCTGGGCCTGGTGGCCGGGTCCTATAATCTCAGCACTTAGGGGGCTGATCATAACATGCTTGCCCGGAGTCAGCTACACAGAGAGGCTTTGTAGAGGGAGAAAGTGGGTGAGACAGTTCCGAACACGGAAGCACTTGTCTCCTAGCCTGACAGCCCGAGTTGGATCCCTGCAACCCACAGGGTGGAAGGAGAGACATTGTCTTCTGACCTTCACATATCTGCCACGGGCTATTTGAAATACTCCGCATATACCTGCACCCCCAACATATGCACTAAACAATAAATAAGTAAATGTAATGAGAAAGGATCACAGTGAAAGCATGTACAGAGGTCAAAGGGGAGAATAAGAACAAGAATGAGGGAGAGGAGGAGGAGAAGAGAGACGGCTGGGTGTAGTGGTTCACGCTTACACTCCCAGCCTCAGGAAGCTGAGACAGTAGGATTGCTTTGAGTTTGAAGCTGCCTGGGCTACATAGCACAACTGTATCTCAAACACCCCTCCAGACTCGCCAAATGGTACAAGAGACTACAGTAGCTGGGCAGTTTCCAGATTGAAAAAAAAAAAGGAGAGAGAGGGAGAGAGAGAGAGAGAACGAGAGAGAAAGAGAGAGAGAGAGAGAGAGAGAGAGAGAGAGAGGAAGAAAGAAAGAAAGAAAAGGAAGGAAGGAAGGAAGGAAGGAAGGAAGGAAGGAAGGAAGGAAGGAAGATCCTTTGTTTGCCTGGCGTGCACGAAACTCTGCCTTCTCTCCCCAGAGTTGCAAAAGACGGTGCCATGGAGATGGAGGATGAAGGCAGGAGGGTCTAAAGCTGAATTCACCCTCAGTTATATGGGGAGTTTGAGGGCAGCCTGGGTGATATGAGACCATTTCCAGGGTCGGGGTAGAAGGAGGAGGAAGAGGAAGACAAAGACCCCGCTGGTAACTGTCGGGAGTCGTCTGGTTAATGTAGGGGCCACGAGGTCGTATTGGACGTAAACGATCTCACAGAACACTGACCTTGGCCAAGGTCACCTGTGACCTCAAGACTACTCCATCACGGTGTCCCAACACAGAAACAATCATTACAGGAACCGCGATGTGACTCGGCAACCCCACATCCTGCTGAGCATGAGCCTTCGCTCTCGGATTTCTATCTTAGGATTTTAGCTTAGCTCTGCTCTTCCTGTCCCGCAAAGGACAGGACCCTAACACTGCCCTTGCTCTGTGACAGGGTCCAGGGCAGAGCAACACCCCACTTCCAGGAACTGTCCCCCAAACCACCATGTAGTTTTACAAAGGTTCCTCTGGCCAGGGGTGGTGACTTAGCCTGGAGTCCCAACACTTGGTAAACACAGGAGTTCAAGGCCTTTGTCGGCTAGGTAGCAAGTTCTAGGTCAGCCTGTGCTGGCTGAAAGGGAAAAAAAAATCCAAAACATTTTAAGAGGAAGAATTAGCAGGGATTACTGATGAATCAAATGGGAGGGAAGCCTAAAGGTGTGGTTCGGCTTCCTGCAGCTCAGCATTACAGTGCTTGCCTAGAATCAGTGAGAGTCTGGGGCATGGCTCAGTGTTAGAGTCCTGCCTAGAATCCCCCAGTGAGGGGCTGAGGGCATGACTCAGAGGTAGAGCTCTTGCTTAGTGTGCATGAGTCCCTGGGATCCGTCTCCAGCATATAAAAGAAAACGGGGTAGGGAAAGCAGTTTTCCAAGTTCATTTTCTGATCTTTCTTGTTCTAAATTCCCTTCTCTAACACTAGTAACAATCACAACAGCAATAATAATAACACCCAAGAACGGAGCACTTGCTTTGTTCCAGAGTTTATTCCAAACAGCAGCCTGCCCGTTCATCAGTTCTCTCCCTTGGGGGTGAAAGGACCTCCCATCATCATGGGACACCAACTTGGTACTCTACTCCCTCAGCACTGCATTTCACAGGAGAGAAAACCCGGGCAGGGAGAGGCTTGGGAGTGGCAGAGGCGGGATTCGAACTCAGAGAGCTGTTTGCGAAGGCCTTCAATGTCACTTGTCAGTGACGGAGGCTTTTCTGGTGTGTGTTTGCTTTTTGGTTTATTTGGTTGGTTGGTTGGTTTTATTTGTTTCATGGTGCGGGGATTGTTTCCTTTTGTTTGTTCTCAATGCTGGGTATGAGACCCCAGACCTCACACACACTTGGTAAGGGGTGTCCCATGAAGTTACATCCCAGGCCTCTTTTTACCTGCTGTGTGTGTTCGTGTGTGTGTTCCCGTGTATGTGTGTGTGCGCGCGCATGCACTCATGCATGCCTGCACACATGGACACACAGATGGTGCAAGCATGGGAAGGGTGTGTGCACACACCTGTCGGCACGTGAACACACCCATACTTGTGGATGTCAGAGATGTCCAGCGTCCTGCCACATCACTCCGCCCGTACTCCTTTGAGGTGGGGTCTCTCCCTGAATCTCAAGTGAGGCTTGCAGCCAGCTGGCTCTGCCACGGAGTTTACCGGTGTGTGTGTGTGTGTGTGTGTGTGTGTGTGTGTGGTAGAGGGGATTGCCTGATCTCTGTGCCTCAGTGGCCTCTGGTTTGCTTGTTTGTTTTGTTTTTCAAGACAGGGTTTCTCTGTGTAGCCCTGGCTGTCCTGGAACTCGCTCTTTAGACCAGGCTGGCCTTGAACTCAGAGATCTGCCTGCCTCTGCCTCCTGAGTGCTAGGATTAAAGGGCATGTGTCACTACTGCCTGTCTGCCCTCCACCTATTTAATGAAGATCTTAAGGGAGACTTACCTCAGAGGGCTGCTGTGGGAGCATTGTCAGATGTTTGTGAGAAGCTTCAAGCAGTTCCCCATGCTACAAAAGCCTTAGATTTTGGTGACTTAAACAGATTATGATATTATTATTGGTTATTAATACTCTTTTTGGCTACTGACTGTTTCCAGGTCTTCAGATCCAGCTGTATGTTGGACAAGATGTGGAGCATGTCACTGTGGTCACAGGCCCGTAATCCCAGCACTCAGAAGGCTAAAACAAGAGGACAGCATGTTCTAGACCGTCCTCTGACCTCCAAATGTGCACCATGTCACACGTGCCGGGATATATGAACAATAATAAACAGAATGCACTTGTAAAAAGTAAGAAAATATACCGCCCTTTTATAAGCAGCCTGTTGGGAGGGGCAGAGCGTGGTGCCTGAACCTCACAGGAGGAAACTAAGACCGGAGCAGAAGCTTCTCATTCAGGTCAGAGTCAGCCCCAGCCGGCCAGATTGCTGACTGCAAACAGGAAAATAGCGGCTGTTTGTGTTCACAGAGAAATCTGCTCCCCAGACCCTGCCCAGCACCCCTGTTCCCAACAATGACAAGCACCTCAGTCACCTAGGTGGGGTCATCTGTCACCCAGGGAAGACTCAAGAGAGAAAGTGAATGATTCTGTGACATCACTCAAAACTGGCTCCAGCCGGATCTCAGCCCCACATCTTCGCTGTGTGCCCCTGAGTTAGTGTTTTTCCCTCTCTGAGGTTTTTTTTTTGTTTTTGTTTTTTGGTTTTTTTTTTTTTTTTTTTTTTTTTTGGTTTTTTTGTTTTGTTTTGTTTGTTTTGCTTTGCTTTGTTTCTTTAAACAGGGTCTTACCATGTAGCCCTGCTAGCCTGGAACTCACTCTGTAGACCAGGCTGGCCTCAAACTCAGAGAGCCACCTGCCTCTGCCTCCCAAGTGCTGGCATTAAATTTGTGTGCCACCCAGCCTTGTAGCCCAAGGTGCCCTTCTTATCATAAAGGAAATAATGATGCAGTAAGCCGAGAACCAAGCCTGGTACCGGACAGCCTGACATCTTAATCTCTCTGTGTGACTCCAGGTAACTCAATCTCCCTCTCTGGATTTCCTCCACTTTGTAGAATAGGTCTGAAAACCTCGGGAGAGCTGGAAGCCCCAGTGAGCAGCAGACAGGGTGATACTGCTTTGTTTTAGGTTTGGGAGGCCCCAGGAGCGTGGGAGAGTTTCAGGGGAGGAACCCCAACTGGTCAGACCAGAAGAGCTAGCACCTTGGGAGGGAGTGGGACCCAGGGTGGGGAGTCTGCTCTTGCTCAGGCCTGCCTGGATTGGGGCTGTTGACCTGAGCCTGGCCCAGGCCCAGAGAGCAGTTGTCTTGTTTGTGTGCTTGCTTGGCTAATTTGCATGCTTATTTACGGATTTGCTTGTTACTTATGCATTTGTTTTCTTGCAACCTTTGTATGTTTGCTGTGTACTGGAGACCATGCCCAGAGCCTCATGCCTGCTGGGCCAGGTTTCAGATGCCTGCTGGGCCAGGTTTCAGTGTTGAGCCTCTCTACCCCAAAACTGGTGAACTGTGGGATTCTCCTCATTCGCCTGGGATCCGCAGAAGGGTCCCCGTGTACACAGAGGGGCCATCAGAGCAGCCATGATACGAGCCTCAGACATGCCTGTGGAGTCCTCCCAGACCAGGTAGGCTCTGAAACTCAGTTCCGCTCCCCTTGGGACACACCACCAAAAGCATCTGGGAAGGGGTGACCCACGTGCAACCTTGTCCATTACACTCCAGTGTTCCCCACACTTGACTTACAAAACACAGATCTAAAACTTAATTAAGAACTGAGCCTAGTGGGTTGGAGTGATGGCTCGGAGGTTAAGAGCACGGCCTGTTCTTCCAGAGGACCCGGGTTCAATTCCCAGCATGCACATGGCAGCTCACAGCTGTCTGTAATTCCAGTTCCAGGGCTTCTAACACCCTCACACGGACACACAGGCTACACTGGTCATATGAAGCTAACCCCTTCCAAAGGCATCTGACTCAGCCTGGAGACCAGTGAGGGTTTCTTCTGAGGGAGAACAGCTTAGATGAGAGCCAAAGGATGAAGGCAGACAACAGCCCAAGAGTTCTGATGGCCTTGTTCACAGCTGTCTGTCATCTTCAGCATCAGTTTCTCACGAATTGTTTCAAGGGTTAAATGCCACTCAATGCCCAAGACCTTTACTCCATGCCAAGGGCACAGTGGCAGCGAGACAGCCCAGGAGACAGCTTTGATGCCAGGAATGACCTGGGGCAGTCAAGGTCAGGATGGGAGAAGCCCAGAGCAGAGTATTCAGAGTGTAATGGGCCAGGCAGGCCAGGCAGGACTACTGTTACTCAGTCAAGGCAACCAAAGAGGGCTTCCTGGAGAAGGAAATGGGCTAGGAGCATTCTGCCAGGAAGTCACAGAAGGACAGAGATGTCACCAGAACAGTCCTGGCCTGGTCCTCTGAGAATGTCAAGGACAGGATGGTCGGCTCAGAAGGGGGTACCTTACAAAGGGAAGAGGAGGGCAAAGCGGGGAAACCCCGATGGAAATGGACGAATGAGGGCATGCGTAAGTTCCTATGCTTGAATGCGTGGGGGCAGATAAAACTACAGACTAAAGCCCCAAGTCAGCGCCTAAGGCCACAAGTCTGCCCACCCCTTCTCCCATCTATGCATGCATGACCTTAATCGTTGAAAGTCTCCATTGCTCAGGGGCCCCAGGATGCCTGCGCTGGAATCTATATCAGCAACCCTGGTTTTCCACCATGTTTAATTCGGTATCAGAGAAGCACCAATAAATAGTTCCTTCCGCCCCCTGTAATCTTCCTCCTGCCCCAAGCAGGGCCTCCAGGGCCTGGCGATGCCACCGCTGGAAGCCACCTGCAGCCCGGAACTCCGAGGCTCAGGCCAGCTGAGTTGGAGCGGCTGCAGACTTCCCAGGAAAATTACAAAAGGGGCGGGGCCGAGAGCTTCCTAAGTGGGCGGGGCCCGGAGGCCGGACGGTACGCGTAGGGGCGGGGTTCGCCGGGACGGTCTTCCTCAAGGGGCGTGGTTTTCGTCCGCAGCGGTCACAATGACGTCCATCCAAATACGCATGGCTTCCGGGCTGGGAGCCACCATGTAGAAAAGACGTTCATAGGTCTTCACGCAGAAAGTCAGGCGGGGACTGGGGCTCTGGGATAAGCAAAGAGAGAGGGTGATTGGATCAATTTCCACAGCTGTCTTACTAAATGGGGTCCAGAATGCCTGCCCCCACCCCCTTTCTCTTTTTGAGACAAGATTTCACTGCCTGGCCTCGAGCTCAGCCACTATCTATCTGCCTGTATGTGCGTCACCATGCCTGGCAGTTTTTGTTTACGTTTTTACACCTCCCCTTTCTTTGAAAATGGGTCTGACTTCGTAACTCAGGCTAGCCTCAAATTTGCAAGCTCAAATTCTGAACACCAAATGGGCAACTCTTGAGTTGGGTAAACCCTTACTTATATCCATTATGTTTCTAACCCCAAGGGAAGGGGCTGAATGTCTTTTTTTTTTTTTTTCCCTGAGAAAAGTAAGACTTGAGTTTTTTTGGTTGTTGTTGTTGTTGTTTTTTTTTTTTTTTTTAGAAAGAAAGTCAACTGGGATTCCAATTTAGCCTTTAAAAACCCATAGTTGTGGGGCTGGAGATCAGCAACTCCAGTTGAGATCAGCACTTGAGAGTACTTGCTGCTGCTGTTACAGCAGAGGACTCAGGTTCGATTTCCAGTACCCACATGACGTTCACAGTCAAGGACCCAATGACCTCCTCGGGCCTCTGTGGGGATGTACATAAATACACACGGGCGTAACCTCATACACACAAAATAAATCTACAAAATATACTTTAAAACAAACAGTCCTGTGGTGGTGGCACACGCCTTTGATCCCCCCACTCTGGAGGCAGAGGCAGGTGGATCTCTGTGAGTTTGAGGCCAGCCTGGTCTACAGAGTGAGTTCCAGGACAGCCAGAACTACACAAAGAAACCTTGTCTCAAAAAAAAACAAAACCCCATGCTTGGTTCCTTTCCAAAGAGGGTTCCAAGCAGAGTTACAGTGGCGGATGTTCCATTTCCTGACCTTGTATTTTGTCTCCCTTATAACCCAGGTCTCCAACTTGAGATCCTCCAGCCCCAACCTCCTTCGTGCTAGAATTACAAGCATGTGCTAAACCAGAATCTGATCAATCTCTCTCTCTCTCTCTCTCTCTCTCTCTCTCTCTCTCTGTCTGTCTCTCTTTCTCTCTTTCTCTCTCTCTGTCTCTCTTTCTCTCTCTCAATTTCTCTCTCCTCAGGGCCTCTGTAGCCCTGGCTAGTGGCTATATATTCTAGGCTGGCTTCAAACTCACAGAGATCCACCTGCCTCTGCCTTCCTGGTGCTGATATTAAAGCTGTGTACCAACCACCATGCCCAGTGTATATGATGTTAGGACTCAAACTCAGGGTTCTGTGCATGCTAGGCAAGGGCTGGGGCTGGAACTCAGGGCTCCATGCATGCTGGGCAAACACTCTACCATCTGAGCCTAAGATGCAACCCCAGGCTCAGAACACTGAGTTACTTTCCAGTTCTCGACAGTGAGTAAAGCAAGGATAGCTTTCCCCAATGTGACCTAGACACAGGGTGAAGTTTCAGTTTAGGATTTTGGCGGGAGGACAGTGTGTCACTGAGCAGAATGTCACCTTGAAGGCACAGCGTAAGTGGTCATAGTAGACTTCCTCGATGGCCTGGAAGTAGATGACACCTTTGAGCTTGGTCTCCTCCTTGTCTGGTGGCAAGAAAGTAAGGGAACAGATCTAGTTAGAGACAGGTATGTGTGTGTGTATGCATATGTGTACACATGCATGTGAGTGTGTGCATATATGTGAGAAATGGTTTGTGCAGATGTGCACATGCATGCGTGTGTGTGTGTGTGTGTGTGTGTGTGTGTGTGTGTGTGAACGGAGATCATTGGGCCCTAACCCTGAGACTGTGAGGTAGGGGACATTATAACAGACAGTATGCCAATCCCAAGGCTGCAAGGAGGCGGATGTCTGTGCTAGACAGGAGTCAGGTGTAGGGGACTACAGGAGCCTGGAGATGGGTCCAGGTGCCAAAGTCCTGGGTCCCTGAGAAGAAAAGGCATACAAGGCATGAGCATCAGGGTTCCTGTTTCTGGGGTCTGGGTGTTCCAGCGGGTGTGGCACAGTCAGCCCCGGCTTGGTTTCACAGGCATCTTAGGAAAACTGAATCTGGAGCCAGAACTGAACTATAAAGTTCATCTGTGCTGAGTAGAAGCTAGGCGGGTGGCCGACGGGGGAGGGGAGGGGATGTAATTCTGGTGGCTTAGGGAGGAAGGGGTTGGGTCATGGTTAGCTTAGACTGCTGAGTATATGTGGAAGGGGTTGGAAACCTAACCCTGAGTCCTAGGGGCAGTGCGAAAGTGGGGACCTGGACTTGGGCTTGAAGCTGCCTGGCCTCCCAGCTTACCCGCATAGTATGCCAGGCGGCGAGCCTGCCGGTCAAAGCAGAACCAGCGTTTCCGCCAGGTTTTGATGCGGCCACCCATCTTCACCAGGGGCCCGCGACAGCAGCCCCCGGACACCCGCAAGTGGGGACAGCTTTCCGGATTGTGGCCCCAGCGTTCCAGGTGCTGTGGGAGGTCCAGGACCCGGGGACCTGGAGGGCGCGGTGGGGGTGGGGGCGGAGGCGGGGCCTGCAGAGCACAGAGAAGGGGCCTTTGACCTGGGGCTGGGAGCAACCGAGGGACCTCAGCCTAGAGCTGAGAGGGCCAACCCTTTGCAGGGATACAAACTAACACCAACCACGGTGTCGCCAGCGTGTGGCTCATGTGTGAGGCTGAGGCCGAAGGTCTGCCATGAGTTCGAGGGCTATAGATGCCGATTAAAGCAAGGAGAGAGGGAGGAAGGGAGGGAGGGAGGGGGGAGAGAGAGAGAGAGAGAGAGAGAGAGAGAGAGAGAGAGAGAGAGAGAGAGAGAGAGAGAGAGAGAACACGCATGCGCTCTGTCAGTATTACACTAGGGAAGTGGAGGCAAAAGGATTACAAGTTCAAGGTCATCCTTGGCTCCATAGTGAGCGCAAAGCCAGCCAAGGCGACCGAGAGCATCCCACAAAACAAAGGAAAGGTCTCCATTGGATAAGAGTCACATCTAAGTCACAAAGTTTGCACTCCACAGGAAAGTACAGGCGGGCTGGGATCTCTCAACCTCGCCCTCCTATGAGCCACTCTGTGAGCTACCGCAGCATCCTGCTGGCTCCAGCCTTGACCACAGGGGCACGAATCTCAGAGTGATGCTTGTCGGTGCACACAAGCACGGCGGGGGACAATGCACTCGACAAGGACCGTTTAATAAATGATGACACCAATGCTGCATTTTTAATGAGGACAAGCTTGTGTAGAACACCCAGCAGGACCCATTGCCCTCCCTGCTCCCCGGCTCTCCTGAGTCTGGGGGATGGAGGGAGAGTCTGGGGGACGGAGCAGGGGTGTCTCTTGCAGCCCAGACTGGCTTCAAAATCACTCCGTAGTGAAGGACCATGTCAATTCCTGATCTTTCTGCCTCTACCTTTGTGCATTACAGGTGTGAGCCACCGTGACTGGTTTATACAGTGCTGGGGATGAACTTGGGCCTTAGCACAGGGCTCGACAAGCACTACCAGCTCGAGATTCTTTCCATAATTTAAAAAAGGGTTTTGGATTTTGGTTTTCAAGCAGGGTTTCTCTAGCTTTGGAGCCTGTCCCAGAGCTCGCTCTGTAGACCAGGCTGGCCTCAAACTTACAGAGATCCACCTGCCTCTGCCTCCCAAATGCTGGGATTAAAGGCGTGCGCCACCACCCGGCAATATAATTAGTTTTTTAACGGATGTTTCTAACTGCCGGACATGTTTACTCTCCATCTATAATAACTACTGAGATAGTTGCCAACGTATGGGAAGAAAGAAGATAAGAGAAAAAGTTCCTGGAGCATAGCTCAGGGTACAGCTTGTGATTAACACACACGAGACCCGAGAAAAGCCAAATAAACAAAAAATAAAAACAAGGAGGGGTGGCTCAGCTGATGGCGGTGCTTGCCACCAACCCCGATGGTGTGGGTCTCATCCCTGGGGCCCACGTGGTGGGAGTCGGGAAGACTCCCCAAATCCTCTGATCCCCACATGTGCGCTGTGGCAAAGCTCCCCTGCATAAATACACAACTCAAATAAACAATGGCCAGGCGTGGCCGCACACGCCTTCAGTCCCTGCTCGCGAGGCAGACGCAGGTGGATCTCTGTGAGTTCCAGGCCAGCCTGGCCTACACCGTGAGTTCCAGAGGACGGCCAGGTCTACACAGAGAAACCTGGTCTTCAAAAACCAAAAACAAACAAACAGAAACCCAAGAATGAAGAAATGAAGTAAGTTTCCCGAGCAAAGACCATGACTGCCAATGAGTGAAACAGGATTGGAAATTGGGACCTCTGGGCTTTTCTTCACGGGTCAAGCAGGACTCTTTTTTTTTTTTTTTTTTTTTTTTTTTTTTGTAGTGTTGAAAGGTAGGGACCAGTGAGAGGTAATAAAGGTAAAAGCCAAGAGAAAAGAGACCAGAGAGGGGACTGACCGTGATGGCAGGAACTGAAGGGCCTGTGGAACCTTCTGGGCTTCTTCTCATCCCTTCCTATGGGTTTATGAGGCAGAATCAGTGAGGGTCCCAACCCATAAGAATGAGGGGGTGGGGCCTGGACTCCTGGGTCTGAGGGAGGAGGCTGGGCCTGGACCCTGGGTCCGAGGGAGGAGGCTGGGCCTGGACTCTGGGTCTGAGGGAGGAGGCTGGGCCTGGACCACTGGGTCTGAGGGAGGAGGCTGGGCCTGGACTCCTGGGTCTGAGGGAGGAGGCTGGGCCTGGACTCCTGGGTCTGAGGGAGGAGGCTGGGCCTGGAGCCCTGGGTCTGAGGGAGGAGGCTGGGCCTGGACTCCTGGGTTTGAGGGAGGAGGCTGGGCCTGGACTCCTGGGTTTGAGGGAGGAGGCTGGGCCTGGACTCTGGGTCCCAGGGAGGAGGCTGGGCCTGGACTCTGGGTCTGAGGGAGGGGGGCTGGGCCTGGACCCTGGGTCTGAGGGAGGAGGCTGGGCCTGGACTCCTGGGTCTGAGGGAGGAGGCTGGGCCTGGAGCCCTGGGTCTGAGGGAGGAGGCTGGGCCTGGACTCTGGGTCCCAGGGAGGAGGCTGGGCCTGGACTCTGGGTCTGAGGGAGGGGGGCTGGGCCTGGACTCTGGGTCTGAGGGAGGAGGCTGGGCCTGGACCACTGTATAAAGAAGAAGACTGGGGTCCAATCCCCTCTCTAAGGAGCAGGGCCTGTGGTCTCACCCTGGCCTTGAGCAGCCTTTCCCTCTCAGCCACAGCCTTCTGCAGGAGCCGCTCCATGTGGGCGATGTCTGGGTGAATTGCCAATTGTCTAGGTGGACGAAGCGGCCATGTGAGTTTACGTCAGCCGGCCCCCTCCTCCCTCTTCTCCTCTTCCCCCTCAAGCCTCACCTATTCCCAGGGCCACAGTTGACCAGCTGGTAGAAAGGGTGTCTCCCAGGAGTTCCCACTGCTTGGGCAAGGGCCGAGGCCTCCATGGGTCCTGAGGAAGAGGGCACAGGAGGAGGCCAGATGTTCCCCCCCTACCCCGTCCTCTGCTGAGCCATGAGGTCTGGGGGGGGGGCAGGAGGGGCAGAAACAGTCCTTACCTGTACAATGGAAGGACAGAGGTCGGGGGGACCCCCTCTGGCTGGCCCTGTCTCCCCTCCTCCGGGGCAGGCTTCCTGTTCTCTGGAGACCGATAGACCCCTGAAACACACCAAGTTTGTAAGTGTTTAAACAGAAGCAGCCCGAAGGTGCTCAGGATAATAGTTTGCTGACAGCTGTACTCTGGGGAGGGAGTGGGTGGAGAACACTCTCCGGGAATTAACCCATTAGTGGATTCCTGGTTTGATGGCATCACTTGGAAACTGTGGGAACTATAAGACTGGGCCTATGTGAAGGCAGGGGAAGTGGCTCAGAAAGTGCCAGACATCCATCCCTGTAGGGAGTCGAGCACTGTCCAGCGTGAGCAGGGGTCAGGCAGGGGTCACCAAGTCTGAAGCTCTTAGTTCAGGCCCTGTGCTGCAGAAGAGAATGACTACTCTCCCTAGCTGTTCTGTGGTGTCCAGGCCATGGCTCATCATGAATTCCCACTCCCCACACTCTTCAATAAATAAACAAATGTGAAGGGAAAAAAAAGTCAGGTGTTGTGGCAAAACCAAATCTGGGGAGGTAGAAAGTGGGGGATCCCTGGGTTTTGCTGGCCTAGCCTGATCTGTAAGCCTCAGAATCCAGTGAGAGACCCTGCCTCAAAACACAAGGTTGGGGGAAGCTGGAGAGATGGGTCAGAAGCTAAGAGCATTTACTGTTCATGGAAAGGACCCCAGTCTGTTTCCCAGCATCTATGTCTGGCAGCTCACAATTACCAGCTTCAGGGGATCAAACACCCTCTTCTGGCCTCTGGGGGTACTGCACTCAGGTGCACATAACCCCCCCCCCCCACACACACACACACACACACACTTTTTTAAATAAAAATATACACTGGAGTGATGGCTCAATGTCTAAGACTACATGCTGTTCTTCCAGAGGCCTGAACTCTCTGGGTAGACCAGGCTGGACTCACACTCACAGAGTTTGTGCCTCTGGAGTGCTACATGCTAGGATTAAAGGTAAGAGCCACCACATCTGGCTAAAAGCATATCTTTAAAATAAAACGAGGAGGACAGCTCCTTCGGAACAATGGCAGAGGCTAACCTCTGGGCAACCACGTGTGTATTCTGACACACACAAACATGAACACACAAACCAAGAGATGGGTCTCTCTGTAGGGGCAGGGTTCTTGGGGTATCCCCTGGAAGGGTTTATCTTGTGCCGAACTCACTCTTTTGTTTTGGGTTTGTTTTTTGAAGGCAGGGTTTCTCTGTGTAGCCTTGGCTGTCCTGGATCTGCCTGCCTCTGCCTGCTGAGTGCTGGGATTAAAGGCGGGCGCCACCGCCAGGCTAGCCCCCACCCACTTTTGTGCTCTCTGCTTCCTGGCTGTCCTGAGGAGGGCAGCTCTCACCCCTCACACCCTTCTGCCATGATGCTCTGCTCTGCCTGCCACAGACACAGCAGCATCCATGGAGCCAAGTGACTCAGGATTGAACCTACAAAAACCAAGAGAAAAAAGCTGTCCTTCAGTTGTGTGTGTCAGTCAAGAGCTCTGCCTAGGAAAGCCACCAGCTATCTGTCCTAGATCAAACATCACAGAGAGCAGAGGCCCCAACTTAACCCCCAGTATCAGAAAAGAAAAAGAAAAAGAAAAAGAAAAAAAAAAAAACTTTTAAAAGGACTGGGGATGCTGCTCAATAGGTAGCGTGCTGGCCTCACAAAACCCTGGGTTCGACCCCCAGCACCACATATAACTGAGCATGTTTCCACATGTCTCTAATCCCAGCACTCCAGGGCAAAGTGAGAGATCAGAAGTTCAAGGTCACCCTTGGCTATACAGTGAATTTGAGGCCAGCCTGGTCTACAGAGCGAGTTCCAGGACAGCTGGAATTACACAGAGAAATCCTGTCCCTAATAAATAAATACACAAGTGTGTGTGTGTGTGTGTGTGTGTGTGTGTGTGTGTGTGTTAGAAGTGCTGGGCCAGGAGGGGTACAGGGAGACAACCTCATCAAAATAGCTTGTTGGTCACTTTTAAATGTCTCTCTTGGGTTACAGGCTCTAATCTCGCATAGAAGGGCGCTATGCAAAATAATAATGATGATGATGATGAGTATCCTGTGACCAAGTTTCCTCATCCACAGGCAGAGAGCGACAGCAGAGGTCCCTCCCTCCCTCCCCCAGTGAGCACAGACACAGCAGCACCTTCAGGGAGCTGTGGACCGAGAAGAGGCAGGAAGAGGTGGAGGCAGCATTTGCACTGGGGTCCTGCAGAACCAGCAGCTGACGGTCCGTCTTCTGTGTGAACAGCAGCTGGGAAGCAGAGGGGGGAGTTGTTACAGAAAGACGGCGCTAGCACGCGCGTATGTGTGTGTGTGTGTGTGTGTGTGTGTGTGTGTGTGTGTGTGTGCGCGCGCGTGCGTGCGCGCACGCCCGCATGCGCTGGAGAGATGGCTCAGCAGTTAAGAGCACTGGCTGCTCTTACAGAGGACCTGGGTTCAGTTCCCAGCATCCACACAGCGGCTCACAACTGTCTGTAACTCCGGCCCTAAGGATTCAATGGCCCCAGGCTGCCAGCACCAGTCCATTTCTCAGATGGAAAAGCAAAGGTCTGGTCACAAAGAGAGTCAGAAGACAGTCCTCACTGCCCAGTCTCCCAGCCAGTCAGGACTACTCACAAGGAGTTTCGGTTCCTGAAGGCAAGGGCTGAAGCCTGGACCCCTGAGTCTCATGGGAAAAGCTGGGGCTTCACCCCCTGGAGGCTGGGCCTGGACCTGGGGTCTGAGGGAGGAGGCTGGGCCTGGACCCGGGGTCTGAGGGAGGAGGGGCCAGAAACTCACACTCCTGGCTCCTGTGATAAGAGGCTGGGATCCAGGTCCCCAGCTCTGAAGGAAGAGGACCACAGGTACAGAAAATCTCCTACCTTAGTGTGTGCTTGGTCGGGGTCAGAGAAGTCCGGACTGCATGTTCCCTGAAGACAATTGAGCTCAAACAGCCGGCTCCGTTCCTAGGAGAGGGCATCACAGGGCATCAAGGCATCTCACCTCACAACACAAGCCACAGCCACAGAGCTTCGGATGCTGGGAACTGCCCGGGTGCAGGGAGGTGGAGGGGGGCAGGTGTCTGTCTGGGGAAACTCCTACCTCTGTGAGGGCCTGAACAGCCTCCTCCTTCTTCCTGCTGAGCCCCCAGCTCTCAGCAGCCATCTGCTCCCCCAGGGACTTGAGCTGTTCCTCCAAGACCTGGATGCGGCGCTGCAGGAGACCCCATTCTGGTCGTGTTGGGTCCCCAGGCCACCCTCCCGCGGTGCCCGGCCTTTAGCGCACCCCCTCATACACCTCAGGAACTGGGAAAAGAGATTGGACACTAAGCCCCATGGACCCTCTCTCTGCTTTGGAAGTTAGGACCCAGAAGACATCCGGGGTTGGTGGCATGGAACGATGCTCAGCCAGATGCCAAGGGAGATACAGAAGCTCAGAGAGAGGAGAGAAGGGCTCAGAGTGTGCAGTTCTCTTGCAGAGGATTCTTAGTTCAATCCCCAGCACCCACAGCAGGCAGCTACTACTGCCTCTAGCCGGTTCTACTCTGTCATGGTCGTTCTTGCACACAGATTCACGAATCCATGCACACAGTTAAATAAATAAAAATAAACCTTAAAAGAACAGGGGAGGGGGGCAGGAGCCATGCCTGTAATTATAACAACCAAGAGCCTGAGGCAGGAAAACTGCCTCAAATGTGAGGCCAGCCTGGACTACACAGTGAGTGAGTCCTAGGCCAGCCTTGGCTACAGAGTGAGACCCTGTCTCCAAAACAAACAAACCAGAGGGACTCGGGGTGTGGCTCAGTTGGCAGACAGCTTGCCTGCAGGCTTGAAGTCTTGGGTCCCACCCTCGGCACTGCGTAAACCGGGTGTGGTAGCTCACAACTGCAAGCCCAGCACCCGGGAAGTAGAGGCAGGGGGATGGCAAGTACCCAGCTGGTTCCGGGCAGCCTGGACCCCATGCAGACAGAAATGAAAGGAAGGAAAAGAGAGGAAGAAGGCAACAGTCTCCCAGCAGAGGCGCGGGACACGGAGACTCCAGCCGGAACTTCTTTCTTACAAATGGGTGGAAAGCTGAGCCGTGTAGTCAGGATTGCCTCCCTTCCCCAGAGGACTACGCCAAAATTTAAACATAAAGTGCCAGAACAAATGAGTAGTTGGGGCCAGCGAAGAGGCTCAGAAGGAGAAGGTGCTTGCGGCCAAGCCTCATGACCTGAGTTCAATCCTGGGAACTGACAAGGTGAAAGGCAAGAATGTCCTCTGGCTTCCATGAGTATGGTAGTATGCATGCTCAAACACACGTACAAATAAACGAGTGAATTTAAAAGTGAACGCAAATTATGAATGAAGTGGGAAAGATCATGTGAAGACCTTGGCTCTGGCCGTCTTCAGTTAGTTAGGAGAAAAGGGAGCAGGATGGGTTGTAAGGAGTGGGTAGCTCACGATTGGTTACCACCACGTCTGTTCTGACAGAACTGTCATGGAAATGGAGGGGAGAATGGAGGAGGCAGGGCTGGGCTGGTCCTGGAACTCACCCTGTGCTGAGCCACGCTGGCCTGAAGTTCTCGGACCTTGGAGTCTGGGGCTCGGACTTCAGGGCTGTCACGTTCCTCTTCCACGCGGCTCTCCCGTTCCAGTTGCTGGAATTCCAGGTCCTCATAGGCACGTTGGGCAGCATCTAGCTGCTCTCTGATCTGAGGGTGGGGACACAGGGGACTGAAGGCAGGGTCCCTAGAGCTGAGGAAGGAGTGAGCTCGTGGGCTTGACCTCTAGGTCTGAGGGAGAAGACTGGGGTCAGGACCACTGAGTCAGATGGAGGAGGGCTGGGGTCTAGAACCCCACACCCGAGGAGAAGAGGGCTGGGGTCTAGAACCTCACATCTGAGGGGAGAAAGCTGGGTCTAGAACCCCACACCTGAGGGAGGAGGGCTGGGTTCTAGAACCCCGTATCTGAGGGGGGAGGAGGGCTGGGGGTCTAGAGCCCCACATTTGAGGGAGGAGGCTGGGGTCTAGAACCCCACATCTGAGGGAAGAGGGCTGGGGTCTAGAACCCCACATCTGAGGGAAGAGGTTTTGGGCCTAGAACCCCATACCTGAGGGAGGAGGGCTGGGGTCTAGAACCCCACATCTGAGGGAAGAGGGCTGGGGTCTAGAACCCCACATCTGAGGGAAGAGGTTTTGGGCCTAGAACCCCATACCTGAGGGAGGAGGGCTGGGGTCTAGAACCCCACACCTGAGGGAGGAGGGCTGGGGTCTAGAACCCCTCCTGTGAGGGAGGAGGTTGGGGCCTGGATTCCTGGGCCTAAGATAAGGGCCCCTGTCAGGACTCTTAGGTCCTAGTGGAAGCCAGGCATGGAATCTAGTTTCTAGGAGGGTTCAAAGAGCCCTCACCTCCTGTACTCCCTGCGAGAGCCGCTCTCTCTGGTCCTCTGGCTGCCTATCAAGCTGTCCTTGGGCCTCGCTCAGTCTCTGGCGAAGACTCTGCACATGATCCCGCTCCTGGCTCAGCTGCCTCTGCTCCTGGAGGAACAAGTATGGGCCTGAACTCAAGCAAGCAGCGAGCAGACAACCGGGACCCAGGCCCTGCTGGGGTGCCTGCCCCTCGTGGCAGGACGCCCAGTCTGATTTATGGCTCTGCTCCAGAAGAATTAGCATGAAAAGTGTAAGAAAAGAGGTGACAGCCAGATATGGTGGCATCCGCCTATGATCCTAGCACTCAATAGTAGGAGGATGGCAAGTTCAAGGCTAGCCTGGGGCATAGAGACAGGTCCTGAGAAGGAGAGAGGAAGGGAAACAAATGAAGACATGAATGTAAAAACACAGCCATGCTGTGTGAAAATGGAGAGCCAAGGAAGGGCAGCCCCAGGCCCTGCCTGCCCTCCAGCAGAGGACAAAGCTGTTACAACTAGAATAGTGAGGCCACTGAGTATGCACCCATGGGAACCTGCAGCATGGATTCCATTTCTTTCCCTGCTCTTTCTCTCTCTCTCTCTCTCTCTTAATTTATTGTTTGCTTTGGTTTTTTGCAGCCCAGTGAATTGAGTCTTATATATAAAACACCAATGCTACACTGTGAGCCACACCCCAGCCCCTCACTGGGGGATTCTAGGCAGGGGCTCTACCACTGAGCCACACCCCCAGCCCCTCACTGGGGGATTCTAGGCAGGGGCTCTACTGATGGAAGATGTCATTCTGTAAATATGTTTCTCTTATTGGTTAATGAATAAACTACTGTTGGCAAATAGGAAGGCAAGATAGGCGGGACTAGGAGACAAGGAGGATTCTGGGAGACGTGGTAGAGAGGAGTCAAGATGTAGGGACTTGAGGGAAGAGGTCAGAACCACGTGGAAATACTTAGATTGATTGAAATGGGTTAATATTTAGGACAGAGATAGCCAATAAGAAATGCTAGTAACAGGCCAACAGCTTTATATCTAATACAGCGTCTCTGTGTGTTATTTGGGGCTGGTGCGGCTGAGGGACCAGGCTGGCGGGAAAACATGCTCATAACACTCTACCAGTGATCTGCATCCCTAGTCCAGGAGTTATATTTGATGCAATAATCACTCTACAGTAAGCAGAAATTAAGCAATATCTGAAGCTAATGAGTTACAAGGAACTGCAAGGAAATTTTTGGCACAAGCTTTTGTGGAAAAACCCAAAAATTCTGGAGGCAAATTCCTGTGCGGGAAGACGTGGTTGTGGGAAGAGAAGGGCTGAGCAGGGGGCTGACATGGAGAGTGTTGTGTGTACAGTTCTGTGTTTGGTTTAGTCAGACTTTATCACCGGGGTTAGTGTGGGGACGGGAAGACTGGAGCCGACCTCCGTGTTCAGAAAGGCTTCCAGCAGTGAAGGTGCCACATGAGACAGAAGGAGGGAACATAGTGAGTGTGGTCCCAGGGGTGAGGGGCAGGGGCAGCCGTGCACAGTTCAGGGTTATGCTTTTGTGATAAAAGGGACACCAAGGTCACAATTTCGGAGATGGTTTCTCAGGATGGCTCTGGGTAGGCAAGCAAGAGACATAGACCAAGGAAGGAGGCTGGGCCTGGACTCTGGGTCTGAGGGAGGAGGCTGGGGCCTGGAGGCCTGGGTCCGAGGGAGGAGGCTGGGGCTGGACCCCTGGGTCCGAGGGAGGAGGCTGGGCCTGGACTCTGGGTCTGAGGGAGGAGGCTGGGCCTGGACTCTGGGTCCGAGGGAGGAGGCTGGGCCTGGACTCTGGGTCTGAGGGAGGAGGCTGGGCCTGGAGGCCTGCAGGGGTCTGAGGGAGGAGGCTGGGCCTGGACCTCTAGATCTGAGGTAGGAATGGCTCAGAGCTCAGATTTCTGCACCTGAGAAAAGAAATGCCTAGAACCCAGAATCCTAAACAAAGGGACCCAGACCTCAGGAGAGACATCAGGGTTGGGGGTGGCAGGGCTCTTGGACCCTAAGGCCAGCACGCAGCCCCTGAACATAAAGACAGTCACAACCGACAACATCAACAAGGCCGCAATGTTGTCTCTTCCAGACTCATCCAAGCCATGACGTAGAGGGATGCTAATGTCTCCAGATAAAGGAGTCTTAAGACCAGGGTGACTCACTGAGGTCCACACACACAGAGCTCGTGTCCCTCGGATTCAGCGGGAAGGCATAAAGCAGGCCCAAATCCCACCATGCCGCTACAGCCAAGTGTGCTCAGAGAACAGAGGGGCGCCGACTGTCCCCACAGGCACATGGGCAGCCACATGACTTTTGTCAGCAGTCATGGTGCAGGCCTGTAACCCCAGCCCTTGAGGGGTGAAGGTAAGGGAATCAGAGATTCAGAGTCATCCTCAAACACAGAAGGAGTTCAGGACCAGACTGGGCTATGGACCCTGGGTGAGGTGGAGAGGAGGAGGGGGAGGGGACAGCAGCAGCTGCTTTTGCTATACGGATGACACACGATTCAGCTGGGCCTAGTGCTGCCTACCTGAAATCCCAGGACTTGGGAGAGAGAAGCAGAAAAATCAGAGGTTCAAGTCATCCTCAGCCACGTAGTGAGTTCAAGGCAGCCCTGGACTACTTGAGATACCATCTTTAAAAAAACAACTCCAGCTTCAGGGGATCCAACATCCTCTTCTAGCGTGTGAGAACACACACACACACACACACACACACACACACACACACACACACAATAAATTTTAAAAAAAACGAAACGAAAAGAAAAAGCCCTTGAGAGGCAGAAGCAGGTGGTTCTCTGTGAGTTGGAGGCAGAGTTACATAGTGAGACACCAGCTCAAAAACACAGAACAAAACAACCATTAAGAAAAAAAAAAAACTAAAAAAAAAAAATCATGCAGAAGATTTGGTTTCTTCAACAATCAGTAAGCAGGTGGACAAGTATGGGAAACCCAGTAGACACATTAGACACAAAACAAGATGACAGGCGGTGGTGGCGCACACCTTTAATCCCAGCAGATCTCTGTGAGTTCGAGGCCAGCCTGGTCTACAGGGCAAGTTCCAGGACAGCTTGGGCTACAAAGAGAAACCTTGTCTTGAAAAAGAAAAAAGAAAAAGAAAGGAAGGAAGGAAGGAAGAAGGAAGAGAGAGAGAGAGAGAGAGAGAGAGAGAGAGAGAGAGAGAGAGAGAACTTGAGATAACCAATTGCAGCTCATAGCCCTGGTATACACCTGTAAGCCCAGCACTCAAGAGACTAAGACAAGATAATCATGGGTTTGAGGCCAGTCAGGGCTACCTAAGGAAACCAAGTCCCAATAATAGTCACACACACACACACACACACACACACGTTCTCATTGTTTTCAGTGGTAGCTGCTAACTGGTGTACAGGCAACATGACTCCTGCGAAGAGCATTTAAAACTTGGTATAGGCTGAGGATGCAGCTCAACGATAGATCACTTTGCCTCTACCTAGAATCCCCCACCCAGGGATTGGTGGTGTGGCTCAGTGGTAGAGCCCCTGCCTAGAATCCCCCAGTGAGGGGCTGCTGTGTGCCTCAGCCTAGAATATTTGCACTGGTTTAGATTCTTGGTGTGGATCCAGGGATCCCGGGACAAGGAAGAATTGGGGAAGATGAAAGAAGAATATAAAATGAATCATCGATGAAGCTGGGTAGCACAAGACACTAGCCCAGCTTAGCGTTCAATTTTTGAGGGTTTGAAATGTTTCCTAGCACGCTGTTAAAGTGTGAAATGTGGGGACAGCTAAGAAACAGACCTCAGTCGTGAGGCATCCAAGTCAGGCCCCAGAAAGAGGGGGAAAACAAGGAACGGGCAACCCAATTTCTCCGTCTGAAGAACACGCGCAACTATTATAGGTCTGATCACAGGATGGTGCAGCCAAGAAGATGAGGAAGTCGCTGGTCAAACCAACCTGTTCCCGCAGCTCCTGGCGGCTCTGCTGAGACTCCACCTGCTGGCCCAGCAGCTCCTTCAGCTGCTCTTCCTCCCGCCGAGCTGCGACCCGTTCCCCGGCCAGTTCACCCCGGAGCAGGGCCACCTCCACTTCCATCTGCAAAGAAAACAAGCAAGAGTTTAGGTGCAGCAGCCTGGCGGAGGACCCGGCCGGGAGACAGGAAGTCTGGAAGGGGCCCGGGGCCTGGGATCTTGCAGGTTTCCCCACCGGGTCATTTTCCACGGGCTCCGCACCCTCACCTCGATCCTCAATTCCTTCTTCTGGCGCTGCAACTCCTTCACCCGCTGCTCCATCAGAGCCACGCGGGTCAGCGCCTCCAGCTGCTGCCCCCGCAGCCGCCCTCGCAGTCGCCGCGCCGCCTCTCGCATCCCTTCCCCAGGAGGGAGCCTTGGGGAAGGAGTGGCTGCAATCTGCGCGGCAGGCGTAGCCTCGGGCTGAAATTAGAGAGGGTGTGATCGAAAGGAGAGACGTGTCCCCCCCCCCCCTACAGTCACCAAACAGGTCTGATCCCCACCCCAGTTGTGCCTGTGGGGGTCACGAGCTGCCTAATTCATGTACTCGCTTTTCGGTCTGAATGGAAGGGCATGAAGGTGTGTGTGTGGGGGGGGGGGGGCTCCAGGTTCCGGCCAGACACAAAGCCAGGCAGCTGCACGCTAAACTGTAGGAGCTCGCTCCCTTTTTCCTTCCTTCCTTCTTCTTTTCTTTTCTCTTTCTTTTTTCCTTTCTACTTTCTTTCTCTACCCCCCCCTCCGTCTTTGTGTGCGAGTGCCAGTGGTGGTCAGAGGAATCTTACATCATGTGGGTCCTGAGGATCGAACTCAGGGTATCGGACTTGGCAGTAAGTGCCTTCGTACCCGTGAGCTCACCTGTCCCTGAGTCTCAGCCTCTTGGCATCTCAGACTTTCGCAGACTCCACGGGTGGATCTCCCCCCCTCCCTCCCTCCCTCCCTCCCTCCCTCCCTCCCTGCCTGCCTGCCCTTCCCCTGTCTCTCTGACTTCGTCTCTTCCTTCCATCTCAGCATTTCTTCTTTTTGTCTCTCTGTTGCCCGATCCGTGCGTCTGTCCGGTGTCTCTCTTTGGGGTCTCTCTTTGTCTCACTCGCTGTGTCTCTGTCTCACCCAGTTTCTGTCTGGGTCTCTGGCTCGTCTGACTCCGGGTGTTTCTTTCTGCTCGCCTCTGGGTGTCTTTCCTTCACTCTGGGTCCCTGCCTGGTCTCTCCCCATCTGCCCTTCCGTGTCCGGCCCCCTGCTTCGGTGTCTGTCTGTCTGCCTGTCTGTGCGTCTGGGTCCCCCGCCACGACCCCTCACCTCTTCGCGGCAGCTCTCGGTGCTGCTACCTTCTCCCACGTCTTCCTCTTCCTCGGCCTGCCGCCGCTCAGCTCCTCGGCAGCTCGGAAGCTCCGGGGGAACCTCGGACTCCGAGCGTCCCTGGGGCTCCTCGGGGTGCCCCTGGGGCTGCATGGCCCCTCGAGGCTGGACCTCGGCGGTGCACTCAGGAACCTGCGGCGACGAGAAGCCCTCCTCTGGGGTGCTGGGTGTCCCCATGGCCCTGTCGGATTCCTGCGGGGTGGGCGTGGCCAGGGCTCCGGGGCGCGGCCTGATACTTTGGGGGCGCGGTCCAGAGCTCGGTGAGCGTGCCCAGGGGCGGAGCCCAAAGGTCCAGAGACTGGTTCTGAACCCTGTGAGGGCGAGGCCTGAAGCTTTCTGGGGACCCGCTCCGGACTGGGGCTGGGCTGAACCGAGGATGACACACTCACCTAGAGTTGGGAAGAGAATTTTGAGTTCGGGGTCCCAGCTTGCCCCACGCTGGGGAGCCGCACACCGGGCATTCCCTTTGCTCCAGGTGTCATCCCTGAACTCTCCCAGACGCCCTCCTCAGTTTCCCGGGTTGCCTCCAAGAGGCCCCATCTCCTTCACACACACACACACACACACACACACACACACACACACACACACACACACACACCCGGACTAGCCCGGCCCTCCTCCCCAAAGCTCCGAAGTCGGGTCCCGACCCCCTGCAGGACAGCCGTGTCCAAGGCTCCTCACCCCAGCATCCAGAACTGGAGGCTCCCAGAGACTCCCTCTCCGCATGCACCAGGGGCCCCGATGCCTCGGTTCCTTCCCGGGAGGAGATCCCCAGCCTCCTCCCCGGCTCTGCTCCGCGCTGGGCACCGAGGCTTCTGCCGCGAAACAGGTGGCTAGGAAAGAGGGAGGAGAGAGAGAGGCCGCCCCGTCCCCCTCCCCAGCAGCCCGGAAGTGGAGGGGGACAACAGGTCCGACAGCTCTCCAGGGAGGAGGGAGCCAGCAGCCTGCCCCGCCCGCAACCCAGGCACCCGGCCATCCCGGCCCCTCCAGCCCCACCCAGCGAGAGCCCAGCGCCCAGGCCTCCCACTCAGCCTCCCGTGCCCCCATTCCTGTGCCCCGGGAGGGCCGGGCATCCTGGACACCTGCATACAGCAGCCTCCCTAAGGCCAAGACCCAGGAAATCCTCAAAGGAAGATAGGAATGAAGATGGGGGCCCTCCCCTCTAATAAGCCCTTTGGAAGGGCCCTGACCGGTTTAGGGAGCCGGACAAGGGGAGGGGGTACCCCGAGCTGAGTCAGCGATCTGCCCAGAGACAGACTGTGCCCTACTCGCTAGCAGTTTACTACGGGGTGGAGAACAGAGGTGAAAGGTCACAGTCAGACCCTTTCCTCTCTGGATGAAAACAGGAAAATAACTGGCATGCAAAACCCGATTGTCAGATGTCAGGAGCTGTGCAAAATACTTGACACACCTCCGCGTCAAACACCAGCCCACGGGAAAAGGGACAGTTGTGGGAAACGGGCTGAGGGAAAGAAATGCTCCCAGGATCTACAACCATTCTAAATGATTTCTAAATTTTATTTATCATCCCCGTGTAGTCGATAGCACAGGCACACAAATGCCACCTCATGTACCTGGGAACCACAGGACAACTTTGGGGAGCAGTTTGGGATTCAGGCATGGAACTCAGGTCACCGGGTTCCCAAGAGGCGCCATACTCTCAGCCACCTCGATGGCCCAGGTATGCCACTGCTTGCCTCTCAAAAATCTGAATTCGTAACTATTAGGCACACTGTGGCTCCAAGCCAGGAAGCACCTAAGAGATCATTCCACATGATAGGGACAATACCAGTGTCAGGAGCAGGGAGTTGGTCGCGTAGGCACAGGGCCAGGTATCACACTCGTGGGTTTATCAGTTCGCTGAAACATCCCGTTGTTATTTCCATTTTACAGACCCGGGAGCTGAGGGAGGGAGAGGGCCTTTCTTGGACCTGGGGCTCTCAGCGGGGAGAGGCTCACACAAAATCACATGCCACAGCATTTACAAGGCAGTAAATGCTCCCCACAGTGTGTGCGCTCTGCGGGCTCCCAGGGCTCCCTAGACCGCCAACCTGGCCCCCATCGCCTTGACAGCTGCTGCCTCCTCATCCTCTGTCATTTTATGTGTGTGCCTGTCTAGCCTACAATGTATGTCTGTGCACCATTCACACATCTAGTGCCCGGAGGCCAGATCCCCTGGAGCTGGAGTGACAGATGGTTGGGAGCTGCCATGCGGATGCTGGATGGAGCCCAGGGCCTCTGCAAGAGCACGCAGTGCTCTTAACCACTGAGCCATCTCTCCAGCACCCCCTCTTCGGGTCTTACATAGCCCAGGCTGGACTCCGACTCACGATGTGGTTGAGAATAACCTTGAACTTCTGCCCCTCCCCTGCCTCCAGCTCCCAAGTGCAGGGATCACAGGTCTGCACCTGTAACTCCTGGTTAACGTGGTGCTGAGGATGGAACACAGGACTTCGTATGTGCGGGGCAAGCGTTCTACCAACGGTACCACATGCCAGTCTACCCTGGCTTTTGGAGGGACCAGAACTGGGTCTCGGCATTCGTCTGGAAACATAATTCCTTCCCCCCAAGAAAACAAGCAGAACTCAGGCTCGTGGCAAAAACAAAGTAAGTTTTATTTAAGAAGCTCAAGTAGCTGGCGGAGTCGGGGTGGGAGAGGAGAGAGGCTCCGGGGTGACGCCCCTCCCCTCACCCCACCTAGTGCAACGGATATGAGCAGCTGGCTGGGACGAGTCAGGAAAGTGGAGTCTGAACCCCACAACGCATGTTTGCCGGAACAGCAACGTCTAAAAAGAAACCTCAAATGATTCTGAGGTCGCAGGAATGACTCAGTCTCACAGAGGCCCAGGAAATGCTCAGGGGTCTTTCGTGGGGGCTACAGTTCTAGCCCTGAGTCCTCCTGCTCAGACCCCAGCCCTCCTCCCTCAGATCAACGGATTCACACCCCAAACGCTCTTTCCTCAGACCCTGGGGACTCTCACCTATCTGCTGTGGCTTGGGCAAGTTCAGGTTGTCCATGACCTTGATAAACTCCTCACAGCTGAGGGTGAGCCGTGGGTTCAGAGTCCGCTCCTCCTCCACAGTAGAAACCGTGAGCCCTGTCGGTAAAGCGGAAGAGAAGCCCAGTAACCAGGGGCCCAGTGCCTTGGACGGCTCAGAACTACATTTCCCAGGAGGCCTTGGAGTTGCCCTCCTTGACTGGGACGAACTGGCCCTTCCCTGAATGGTCCTGAGATGCTGTCCCGCCTCTCTTGGGGCACTATGGGAATTGTAGTTTCCACAGTTCCTCGAGCTCTCTGAGGACGTCCCAGGAAAACCTATGCCCCGCAGATGTCTCTTATTGTTTCCACATCCACACAGCACGCCCAAGCACGTAATCTTTCCAGCCACAGGAATTTCTGGGTTCTGCAGCCTCCGTGCCTCGTGAGGACAACGGGCAGAGGGTACTCCCTGCCTTGAGTGACAGCGGCCTGTCATGGCCTCGGGCAAGCCCTCACCATGGTAATCGTGAGCCGGATAGATTAGACAGTTGCCAGGAAGGGTGAAGATCTTTTCGTGCACAGAGTGGTACAAAGTCCTAGCACAACCTGAGGAAGGAAAGCTCAGCAGTCAGAGACTCACAGGGACAAGAGGAGGCCCCGCCGCCCCACTTCTTCCAGAGCAGGACCGGGAAGATGGAGTCACTATGGCTAAAACCTCTCCCTCATCTCCTGCCAAGAATGCCCTTCTGGGAACACAGAGAAGGAAGGGCATTCCAGGCGGTGAAACAGCATATGTAAAGACCCGAGGCACTGTGGGAAATTCACCAGGATAATCTGTGAATCTGTAAGGTCGGGCTGAGAGACGGAAGTACCAGGGGCTGTGTCACCCTCCCGGGGAGGTGAAGAAAGGGCTCTGGGCCAGGAAGGTGAACTAAGGGTAATATGCAAAACAAGGGAAGAGTAGCATGGATTTAGATAAGAAGTTCTGAGTCCTGGGGGTGGAGGGATGCTTAGGGGATAGAAGTGCTTGCTACCAAGCCTACAGACTGAGTTCAGATTCCCAGCACCCCAAAGCAGGGTGTGGCCTATGCTCCTGTAACCCCAGCACTGTGGGCACAGAGGCAAGAAGACCCCTCTATGAGCCCAGCCACACACATGTGAACATATACCACACATGGGTACACATGGCTCAGGTGAATAGATAAAAGGGAGATTTAGGAGTCACCTTTCAAGCTAACGGATTCCTAAAGCTAAACCCAAAAGTTACCCTGACCCCTACGGATTAAACAGTGTACAGTAACAACCTTGGTGTATATTTGGGTATGTTGTGTGTGCACACATGTTCCATGTTACCCAAAATGTTACCTTACACTTTTTTTTTTTTTAATTTACATACATTAGTGTTTTGCCATGGGTTTCGGGTCCCCTGGAACTGGAGTTATAGACAGTTGAGAGCTGCCATGTAGATACTGGGAATTGAACCCGGGTCCTCTGGAAGGACAGCCAGTGCTCTTAACCATGGGGCCATCTTTCCAGCCCCAGCCTTATGCTGGTGATCCTCCTGCCTCTACCTCCTGAGTGCTGGGATTACACGTATGGCACAGCTGTTCCCAGGTGAGGATTGAAACCCCAGCTTCAAGCATCTACCCACTGAGCTACACAGCCCCAGCTGCAAAGAGTCTCTCTACAGAGCCCTGGTTGTCCTGGACCAGCTGGCCTCGAACACACAAGGATCCTATTCTTCACATTCTCACCCAGACCACCACACTGAGATCTCGGGCTGGAGAAAGGTACAGGTCACCTTGTTGGAAGTCTGTCCGTCCACACCCTCGGATCAGCAGGGCATCTCCAGTAAAGGCCATACTCTGGTCATTCAGGACAAAGGTGACACAGCCCGGGGTGTGGCCAGGGCTGGCCCGAGTCTCCAAGGCCTGGCAGAGATGTAAAGCACAGAGACAGTTACCAGCAAGCTCCACACACACGCACACATGTACACGCGCACACACACACGCGCGCGCACGCACACACACAAATAATTACTTTTAAATGATATTTCTCATAGCATTTTGTCACGGTGACAGAACTACCAGTCAAAGGAACCAACATGGAAGTACACTGTAATAAAACCTGGGAAAATAAGCACATCCTGGTGGCACAGATCTACAGACCCAGCACTGAGGAGGATCAAGGGTTCAAGATCACCCTCTATTGTATGGAAGATTTGGGAACAGCCTGGGCTGTATGAGTTTAGTCTCAAAATAAAACACAATAAAATAACTTCTGAAAATCAAGCCTCGAAGTGGTGGCACACA